CCGGTCTCAGAGGGAGGGGATACATGCGTACATATCGTTGGTTCACTTCATTGCACAGCAGAAAGTAACACAGCACTGTAAAGCGATCGTACTCCACTTTAAAATAAGAGAGAGAGAGCACACATACACCATGGAATATTACTCAGCCGTCAAAAAGAATTCATTTGAATCAGTTCTAATGAGATGGATGAAACTGGAGCCCATTATACAGAGTGAAGTAAGCCAGAAAGATAAAGACCATTACAGCATACTAACACATATATATGGAATTTAGAAAGATGGTAATGATAACCCTATATGCAAAACAGAAAAAGAGACAGAGATGTACAGAACAGACTTTTGGACTCTGTGGGAGAAGGTGAGGGTGGGATGTTTCAAGAGAACAGCATCGAAACATGTATGTTATCTAGGGTGAAAGAGATCACCAGCCCAGGTTGGATGCATGAGACAAGTGCTCAGGCCTGGGGCACTAGGAGAGACCCAGAGAGAGCGGGTGGAGGGGGAGGTGGGAGGGGGGATCGGGATGGGGAATACATGTAAATACATGGCTAATTCAAGTCAATGTATGACAAAAACCACTACAATATTGTAAAGTAATTAGCCTCCAACTAATAAAAATAAATGAAAAAATAAATAAATAAAATAAGAGAGAGAGAACGCAATTGGGTAGGTAATTGCACTGCAGACCTTTAACTTCTACCTGAATCCTCCAAGTTCAAAAGGACCAGTTCAAGCCCTGCCTGACTAATCAGTGATACACTCTCTAACCCCCAGTGGGAAATCACCTCTGAGTTCCCTGCACTTCCTTTGATCCTCTGAAAATCCTTGGATCATTCTACCATGCACTATAATTATAGACACACACACATATCTGTCTTATCAGCCTTTGTAGACTCTTTCAAAGCAGGCTGTGTTTGCTTATCTCTCTAGAAACCTCTTCTGACACTGCCCTATTCCCCTCCTTTCTCCTTTTCAATTCACCACATCCACCATTCCTTTCTCGCCAAACTTTTGCGAGTCTCTCCATATGAATAGGCTCATCCTAGCTTGTGCCCTTGCATACGCAGTTCCCTATGATTCAACCACTGTTCCCTTCTTTGCTCTGGAGTACTTGGACTCTTTTTGGGGAGAATTACTTCCTCAGTTAAGCCCTCCTAGACCTCTCAAACTGTCGAGTGGTCATGCCCTCTGACCCTTAACAGAGATAAGTGTATCTCTGTTAGCTCACTTATCAGCCTGTTTTTTTTCCACTACTTGTTTACAGGTCTATAAGGCCTGGGCAGAGTCCTCTTTTTATCTAACTAGCTCTCTGGGGGCCCTTGCCTCTCTGCTCTTTTCCCTGCTGTCAGTGAAAGTGCATTGAATAATTTACTTGCCTCCTAAATTGTTCTCCCATCTCCAAAAACACAAAACAAGAACAAAGGAAGCAAAACAAAACACGTGTCCTTGCTAGAAATATCCCCCAGTGCTCATGCCTTGGTTTGAAGCCATCGAGACTTGTGTCAGAACTAGCTGATATGCAGTGGATAGAGCACTGGATGAAGAACCTGAACCCCTATATTCCAGCTCGAACTCACCCTGTGATTAGTTCTGTGCCCTTGGCCAAAGGATATCATCTCTCTAGGTCTAGGTTTCTAAGGTGGAAGTTGCATTCAGGAAGAGTATATAGGTTTGTTTTTTTTTCTCCCTCCAGCAATAACGGAGTTGAATGGCAATGGCGTCCCAAGGAGTGTTGTTGCAGATCGTGAAGCCCAGGTCAGGAAGGACACCCAGCTGGAAAGAATATACTGACTCTTTCTGTCCGTTTAGCACAGAGGTGGGAGGCGGTGTACATCTGCCTCTCATTTGCTCTCACTGAACAGATAGGGCTTTGAGTCCCTTTTAGCTCACACACTCCACATTTCACCGTCATTCATGAATCGACGTAAGGTCAATTCCATTCTGCTTATGTGAGGCCCATGCTGTGTGCTCTGTACTGAGGAGTGTCAGATAAAAAAGAATAAATAATGCATGGTCTTTGCCCTTAAGGGATTCTGGATGATTAGTGGAGGTAGATGAGGAGTGTTAATATTATCTCCATTTAGCAGATAAGAGGAACTGCAGCTCCACCAATGCAGTGGGGAGACTGGCGCACTTGCTAAGTCGCTTGAGTCGTGTCTGACTCTTTGCGACCCCACTGATTGTAGCCCGCTAGGCTCCTCTGTCCATGCGATTCTCCAGGCAAGAATACTGGAGTGGGTTGCCATGTCCTCCTTGAGGTGATCTTCCTGACCCAGGGATCAAACCCTCATCTCCTGTGTCTCCTGCATTGCAGGTGGATTCTTTACCCACTGAGTCACCTGGGAGAACCTGGGTCTCAGGCTAATCGGATTCTAGGGGCTTTACCCTTGTCTACCCTACCTCACCGCTGGTTGTTTAGAAGAGAAAGGGAAAGGAGATACTGAACTGAAAGCTTGAGTGTTTCCCACGCTTGTTGCCTCATAGGAGTGGCCCAGGATAACCAGTGGGCAGTGTTAGAAACCTGGGGGGAAGGGTAGAAAGGGAAACAGAAGAATCCAGAAAACAAATCACACCTAATGCATGAGAGCTGGTCTTGACTTCCATGCAGGAAATTTTCATCAGGTCCGATGACAGGCAAGCCTGCGTCCTCGTGTCTCCTGAGCCTCAATTCTAAGATTCTGCCCCCTTGACAACGGTGGGTTAGGGAGAGGCAGAGACCCTTCTGGGAGGTAACAGACCGGGATAATGATTTAAATGAAATCACAGTAATAACACATCAGGCCTTAACTCTGTGTGAAGCTGTCCACCAAACACCACCTCAGGGCCTGGAACTGAGTGCTCGTGAGGTTTAGAGGAGGACTTTTCAATTAATAAGTTTATGTAAGTCGCAAAAATTCTGAGTAAGGGCAGACAACTCGTTTCTAGGCCTATCACATAGATACATCTTGACGGAGGTGAGAAGTGGCCATAAATCCAGAGTGTGCTGTCTGGATTCCACACATTCAGATTCTTTTTTTTTTTTGGCCACACCGAGCATCATGATCTTAGTTCTCCGACCAGGAATAGAACCCAGACCCCTTACAGTGGAAGCAGGGAATCTTAACCACTGGACTGCTAGGGGAGTCCTGCTTTTTTTTTTTTATCAGAATCTTTTAAAAAATATTTATTTATTTGTTCAGCTGTGCTGGGTCTTTGTTGTGGCACATGGCATCTAGTTCCCTGTCCAGGCTCCCTGCGTTGGGAGTGTGAAGTCTTAGCCACTGGACCACCAGGGAAGTCCCCAGATTCTTAATAGTGACCATGCCCTAAGAATATTGTTTATATCATTAGATTCATGCAAGACAAGCAGACTTGAAGGAAGGAAGTTTTGATTTGCAATGAATTTTCACGTTACACGCAATGTACATACCACACCACTAACACCAGATACTCCACTAAAGTTAGCTGGTTAAGGCACCCATTTCATGATATTGACAGACCTGGGAAACCAACCAGTAATCAGAAGTCACTAAAGGAAAACCCAAATTTGGGGAAAATAAGATTCAATGAACTAAATGTGATAAATTGATTTTTAGTTATAGCTTTTTAAATATAAAAAATAGAATGTTGCAGCTAGAAGGGACCTCACCATAGCCAAAGCTCTCATTTCACAAAAGGGGAAATTGAGGCCCAGAAAAGGGAACTGATTTACCTATGCTCACGGTATACATTCATTTCCTCTTTTCATCCTACAAACATTTATAGAAAGCCAACCAGGAATGAAGCCTCATTCTGAGAAAAATGGAGGCTTTCATAAGCTCAAAAGTCTAGCTTGGGAGATGGATGTGAACAGAATCAATTCTCAAACAGTATGATTAGCGCTCTAAGAGAGGGGCTGACAAAGGTTATATATATAAAGGCTGAATGTGCGTGCATGCACACTCAGCCGTGTCTGACTCTCTGGGACCCCATGGACTGTAGCCTACCAGGCTACTCTGTCCGTGGAATTTTCCAGGCGAGAATATTGGAGTGGGTTGCCATTTATATTTAAAGCTCCGAGGGCCATATAATCTCTGCTGCAACCACGAAGCTCCACTGCTGTAGCACAGAAGAGGCCATGAACATCATGCAAATAATAAAAGCGCCTGCCAGCCCAGTAACACTTTATTGCCTTTTGACATTCCAATTTAATATTGTATTCACATGGCATAAAATATTATTCTTCTTTTGATTTTTCAACCATTTAAAAAAGTAGGGACTTCCCTTGTGGTCCAGTGGTTAAGAATCTACCTCACCATGCCAGGGATACCAGTTCGGTCCCTAGTCCCAGAAGATTCCACATGCCCCAGGGCAACTAAGCCCATAAGCCACAACTACTGAAGCTCACATGCCTCAGGTCTGTGCTCGGCAACAAGAGGGGCTACTGCAATGAGAAGCCTGCTCACTGCAACGAAGAGTAGCTCCCCCTCAACGAGAGAAAGCCTGTGCGTAGCAACGAAGACCCAGCACAACCAAAAATAAAGAAATGATATTTTAAAAATGTAATGACTATTCTTAGCTCATGAGCCTACAAAAACAGGCAGTGGTTTGTCTACTCTAGTCTTAGATAAACAGAAGTTCCAGATGATTTTTTTCACTATCCATGAAGAGTATGATCTAGTCGTTGATCAGATTCTTTTAGCAAGAATAAAGGGGGAAACAAAAAGAGTTTGTGCTTGTCAGTACCACTGTGAAAAGGCAGGGTACTAGTCACAAAGGAAAGTACAAGATAGGTGAAGAAGAGGCCAGAAAGCCCTTATTCATCCCCGCTGTTATTGTTTAGTTGATGTAATGTCTGACCCTTTGTGACCCCAAGGACTGTGGCCTGCCAGGCTGCTCTGTCCATGGGAGTTCCCAGGCAAGAATACTGGAGTGGATTCCTTCCTACCTCACCTCTATTTCCAATTAAACTCCAAATTTCTCTATAATCTTGAGCCAACTTTACTACTTGTCACATTTCACAGACTCTCACTGTGTGCAGTTTAATGTAGATTCCTGTGCAGAAGAACTGTCCCTTCCTTTCTAAATTTCCACACAGCCATGTTTAGGACAGAATCAAATGACCCTATAGGACTCAGACCCTCTAGGGCTTCAGTAATTTTTTTTGACAGCATTAGAATACCCTGTGGGTGGCCTTGAGTGAAGTGAAGTAAGTGAAAGTCGCTCAGTCGTGTCTGACTCTTTGCTATCCCATGGACTATACAGTCCATGGAATTCTCCAGGCCAGAATACCAGAGTGGGTAGCCTTTCCCTTCTCCAGGGGATCTTCCCAACCCAGGAATTGAACCCAGGTTTCCCACATTGCAGGTGAATGAAAGCCTTTTCCTAATAGATGTGAGCATGTTCAGTTCAGTTCAGTTCAGTTCAGTTCAGTCGCTTAGTAGTGTCCAACTCTTTGCGACCCCATGAACCGCAGTATGCCAGGCCTCCCTATCCATCACCAACTCCCAGAGTTTACCCAACTCATGTCCATTGAATCGGTGATGCCATCCAACCATCTCATCCTCTGTCGTCCCCTTCTCCTCCCACCTTCAATCTTTCCCAGCATCAGCGTCTTTTCAAATGAGTCAGTTCTTCGCATCAGGTGGCTAAAGTATTGGAGTTTCAGCTTCAACATCAGTCCTTGCAATGAACAGTCAGGACTGATTTCCTTTAGGATGGACTGGCTGGATCTGCTTGCAGTTCAATGGACTCTCAAGAGTCTTCTCCAACACCACAGTTCAAAAGCATCAATTCTTCGGTGCTCAGCTTTCTTTTCGGTCCAACTGTCTCATCCATACATGACTACTGGAAGAACCATAACCTTGACGAGACAGACCTTTGTTGGCAAAGTAATGTCTTTGCCTTATAATATGCCATCTAGGTTGGTCATAACTTTCCTTCCAAGGAGTAAGCGTATTTTAATTTCATGGCTGCAGTCACCATCTGCAGTGATTTTGGAACCCCAAATAATAGAGTCTGCCACTGTTTCTACTGTTTCTCCATCTATTTGCCATGAAGTGATGGGATCAGATGCTATGACCTTTGTTTTCTGAATGTTGAGCTTTAAGCCAACTTTTTCACTCTCCTCTTTCACTTTCATCAAGACGCTCTTTAGTTCTTCTTCGCTTTCTGCCACAAGGGTGGTGTCATCTATATATCTGAGGTCATTGATATTTCTCCCGGCAATCTTGATTCCAGCTTGTGCTTCTTCCAGCCAGCATTTCTCATGACGTACTCTGCATATAAGTTAAATAAGCAGGGTGGCAATATACAGCCTTGACATATTCCTTCCCAGTACTGTCAGCCACTGTTTCCACTGTATCCCCATCTATTTGCCATGAAGTGATGGGACCGGGTGCCATGATCTTAGTTTTCTGAATGTTGAGTTTTAAGCCGACTTTTTCACTCTCCTCTTTCACTTTCATCAAGAGGCTCTTTAGTTCTTCACTTTCTGCCATAAGGGTGGTGTCATCTGAATATCTGAGGTTATTGATATTTCTCCTGGCAATCTTGATTCCAGCTTGTGCTTCATCCAGCCCAGCATTTCTCATGTTGTACTCTGCATATAAGCAGTGTCATTCATCTTCGTATGCCCAGCCCTTCAGAGCGGAGTTTGGTACTGCAGAGTCATTAGGCTTTGTCATGGGCAGTTGACCTGATAAAAAAGCATGAGCTCTTTCCCCTTATAGGAGAATTCTCTGGGTCTCAGCTTCCTCACCTGCAAAATGAACATAATAATACCATCTACATCACAAGTTTCATAGGATCAGATGTATGTTGGCTCTCTGTTAACCATCAAATACTATGTGAATGAGAGTATAAAGTTCTACCACTTGCTTCCATTCTTACCATCCCTATACTCAACAAGGCCACTTTATCTTTCAGAGCCTCATTTTCCTTATCTTTAAAGCCAGGAGGGTGTATTTGATGGTTTTTAGCTTCCTTTCATTTCTACCATTTGGGCCCTGTTGGTGAGGAAAGGAGTCTTTCACTATATGGGAAGCTGGTTTGCATTATGATTGAAGGTAAAGGGCAGAAACAAAGAGACCAGAAATGGGAAAATTACCAAAAAAAGAAAAAAAGACTAGAAGGAACTCCAGACAGGGAATCCCAGACCAAGGGCCTTCCACGTTTTGTGTTCAGGATAAAATGTTTGTCTTCTTAAAAAGCAAAAACGTCATGCTCTTTAGCATAGTCTAGATTTGCTTTACACATGGAAATCTGAGTTTGAGAATCTCAATCTTTCTTTTCTCTCCTCCAAGTTAATCAGTGCTTGAAATTGTTCATGAGATTATCCACCCAGCAATTTTTAACAAGAGGCTCACTGCCCAGATGCTTCAGTGTGGACTGCAGGGACTTCCCTGTTGATCCACTGGTTAAGACTTTGTCTTCCAATGAAGCGAGTGCAGGTTCGATCCCTGGTCGGGGAGCTAAGATTCCCACATGCCTGGCAGGCAAAAAACCAAAACATAAAACAGAAGCAATATTGTAACAAATTAAATAAAGACTTTAAGAAATTGTGGCATGCACATGGGTATATCATGGGGTTTTTGCTTGTGTGTGTGTGTGTTCTATTGTTTGTTTTTCTTCCTGTTCTGGAAGTGATGGTGTCCACAAAGCAGACTAACTCGTGCTCCACAACGCCAAGGTCCTACACAGATTTTTCCTGCCTTTCTCTCATTTCCCATTTTCATAAAGAAGGAGTATATAAGTTCATTGATCAAATAGGTGAGATGCTCTTTATCTTCTGAAGAAACTGACCTTGTTTTCATGGAGTCAGTGTGGGGTGGGGGTGGGCACAGGGCTGAGCTGACAAATAAGCAGCAGGTAAGGCAAGCGGGGAGGTTGGAGAAACCTGTTTCTCTCCCTCCTCCATGCTCCTGGCTTGAGGGGTTTAGGGAAGGGCAACAGGGGTCCAAACCTAGGACCTATACTGTGCCTGGAAAGGTTCTTTTCTACAACAAAGGAGAAGGGGTCTTGGTAGGGCTGTCTGGTGTGTAAGAGATGGGTCTAGACCTCTAACAACAGGCAAATTCAAAGCCCTGTGAATTCTTTTGGATCTACATAGTATCAGCCCACAGAAATAAACTAATTTATAAAAGAGTATACAGGAGATCACAGTTTTCCACAACCACTGGGGCCTAAGAAGCACTTTTCAAGAGATCTGTCTCTTTAGTACGTGGTATCAGAAACCAGGAAAGTCCCAGCTAAATATCTTGCATTAGCCTTAATTTTCTCTGAAATGAACAACTATAGTCCTTTGGATATATCCAAGCCTTCCCATCCCCCTTGAGCATATATTCAGATTATCCCCTCTACTTTAAAGACCCATCCCTAGCAAACACTGGGGGAACCCCTGACTGAAACCTCCCACCCTGGCCAGACACAATCGTAACCACTTGCACGAGTTATCTTACAATGGGAGATCTTGGTAAGAAACACGGAACTAACAAGCTACTGGCAACCAGAGGAAATCAGGAATGGTCAAAAGAAGGGAGGAGATGCCAGTCCATATGCCCCACCAGTCTCCCAGAATCCATCTCACTCGAATCTACCTTGGCTGAGTTGCGCCTGGGCCACCAGGAAGGACCCTGAGTCAATGATTGGCCAAAGACGACCCGGAAACTAACCTCATTACCATAAAGCCTGAGTCTGTTAGCCACGCAGCGGAGCCGTTCTCCTGGGCTCCGCTACCCTGCTGCTCTCTGCCTGGGCGCCCCCTCCTAATAAAGTCTCCTGCTTTGTCAGCACGTGTGTCTCCTCGGACAATTCATTTCTGAGTGTTAGACAGGGGCCCACTCTTGGGCCTTGGGAGTGGTCCCCCTTCCAGCAACACAATCACAGACCATGGCTGGTCCAAATCCAACCACAGTTCAAGTCCCATGTCAAGTACTGACTTCTTTATAAAGACTTCTTTCATTTATTTGGATCTTGCTATAGTTACTTCTTCATGAGTTTATGTTTTGCCTCCTCAATGAGAGCATATGTTCCTTAAGGCCTCAAATTAATCTTTATATTTCCTCACATTCAAAATTGTGCCTGGTTTAGGTCATTCAACAAAGCAGGCATTCAAAAAAAGATGTGGTGCATATATATATATACACACACACACACACACACATTGCATATGTGTTTGTATACATATATGTGTATACACACAAATACAATGAAATATTACTCAGCCACAAAACAGAATGAAATAATGCCATTTGCAGCAACGTGGATGGACCTAGAGATTATCATACTAAGTGAAATAAGTCAGAAAGAGAAAGACAAATACTGTGATATCACGTATATGTGGAATCTGAAATATGACCCAAATGAACTTATCTATGAAACAGAAACAGACTCAGAGGCATTGCAGGTGTCAAGGCAGAAGGTGGAGGCAGGAGAGGGATGGGTTGGGAGTTTGGGATTAGCAGACGCAAACCAGTACATATAGAGTGGATAAACAACAAGGCCCTGCTATACGGCACAGGGAACCACATTCAATATGCTGTAATAAGCAGTAATGGAAAAGACAAAAATCTGTTGGTTGTTTGTTTAACCAGAACACCGTATCCAAGATCCTCATCTATAAATGGAATGTTTGCACATATTTAGAAGTTTGAACCACAAAGAAATTGTTAACAAAGATTTCAATTCAAAACAAACAATAAACTAGAAGATCTCCTGAGTTCAACACATCCTAACTAGGTTTTGCACCTTCTGCGTATTTATCTAGGCAGTTGAATAATTTGAATTTCAGTTTTGAGTAAATAGCCTGAGGCATGGCAAGATCTTCAATCATCAAGAAAGATTCAATTATATTCTGTGTGTGCTTTCCAAAGAAAGAACATAAACTAATATTTTGAAAAGATTCTCAACCAGAGGGATAGAACTACAATGATTTCTTTAATAAATATTATCTACACATGAAAGGTGTAATGTCCATATAGTCAAAGCTATGGTTTTTCTAGTACTCATGTTTGGATGTTGGCGCTGGAACTTAAAGAAGGCTGAGTGCCAAAGAAGTGATGCTTTTGAATTATGGTACTTGAGAAGACTCTTGAGAGTCACTTGGACTACAAGGAGATCCAACCAGTCCATCCTAAAGAAAATCAGTTCTGAATATTCACTGGAAGGACTGATGCTGAAGCTGAAGCTCCAATACTTTGGCCACCTGATGCCAAGAGCTGACTCATTGGAAAAGACCCCGACACTGGGAAAGATTGAGGGCAGAAGGAGAAGGAGGTGTCAGAGGATGAGATGGTTAGATAACATCACCAACTCAGTGGACATGAATTTGAGCAAACTCCAGGAGATAGTGGAGGATAGAGGAGCCTGGCATGCTGCAGTCCATGTTGTCACAAAGAGTCAG